AATTCCACTTTCATTTTGTAAATAACAAAATTTTATTTCAGGGTCCGGAATTGCTGTCGAAATATATAGGTGTTAGTGAGGAATCTGTGAGAGACGTATTTGAAAGGTACAATAAAATTCAAAATTTTTTCCCATTTTTTTAAAATTGATATTTTAGCTTAATATGATCTATAGATATTTAAAAATGTACATTACATTCTCGTATTATAGAGCCCGACGAGCCAAACCGTGCGTTTTATTCTTCGATGAATTTGACAGTCTTGCCCCCAGGTGAGGAACAAAATTAAATAAAATCAAATTAAATGAAATATAATTGATTAAAGGTAATTGAATAGATAAATGTATTCGCAGTTATCACAAATATGTAAACAATTATTCATTTTTAACGTTATGTCTCGTTTCAGTCATCCTTCATATCGAAAACACGACGTATCTTAACTTATCTTTTCTTCTATTTTGATACACATGTATATTTTATTTTAATTAGACGTGGACACGACAGCACCGGAGTCACCGATCGAGTGGTGAATCAATTGCTAACGCAACTTGACGGAGTCGAAGATCGCGAAGGAGTGGCAGTCGTGGCAGCATCCTCGAGGCCTGACCTGCTAGATCCGGCTCTTTTGAGGCCGGGACGCCTCGACAAATGTTTACATTGTCCTTTACCGAGCGAGGTAAATATATTTTTGACAATCATCTAAAATGTTTCCTTAATAATATACCCGCTTGTTCTTGCAGTCGGAAAGAGAAGCAATCTTTGCGGTTCTGTGCGATTCCCAAAACATAGACGAAGCTGAATTGGATCTGAAGAAATTGGCCCAACTTTCCGATGGCTTTACGGGAGCTGATATTAACGCGGCAATTACTTCGGCGAGACTGTCGGCGTTCGAGGACGCCTTGGCGACTGCGATGGTAATTTGTATATATTTAAAGTGCTTTATCTATTTATTTAACTGCACTAATGCCGGAATCTTGTCTTATTACAATCTGTAATCTTGTTATACATTATTAATGTAAGAATTCACTTCGGTCTACTATCTCTGTATTTACAAAGATTTTCCAAATGTGGAAACAGAAAAGAAGATAAAAGTAGATAAAAATTATCTACCTAGCATTTTTCGTAGGTAATTCATTTCAAAATGAAAAGAAAACTGAAGGAAATATTAAGATAAGTTTAGTCAAAATTTCAGTTGTCAGCTCTGTTCTGATCGATCTTTCAAGCCACCTGGACCGCGGAATAGCAGATCGCATCGCTAATGGCCGAAGCGTTTTGTTGTTACTTGTTCGTTGTGGTAGTATCTGAGCAGCGTTGTAATGAAAAGCACTTCTCATGCGACTCCCGAGAATCATTTGTAGGGAAGCTTCCGAAGTAAGATAGTGCGTAATGACGATAATATCGTTAGGTGTGCACCCTACGGTGTGCGTGCACATAGGGGCGCGCCCGAGCGCGGGCTGGGGATGGGGAGGGGGGGGGAGATCGAAGGGGGGTTGCGGGAGGCTGTAGGTGCCGCGATATAACCGAGGAAACGTAGACCAGGTTTATTAGCACACGGTGCCGAGAGCGCTAGGCGGCCGGGCTACCCCCTTTGGCGCTCCGCTTCATCCCCCAGCCTCTCCACGCCTCGCTGAACGTCGAGGGGGTTATTATCTTATGCGTTATAATGATACACGGTTTAGGGCCTGCAGCGGTCCTGTAAGATCGAAAGCTAGACAGCCATTCCGTTAGTTATGGCGCTCGTTAGCTCCTTATATGTCTTAAACGTGTCTACCGTTAATTTCCTAGTTGTGTATTTATTTATTCATTCATTCATTTATTCATTCATTCATTCATTCATTTTTATCATTTTTCTGCTAAATAAATGCAAAATGGCTCGTAACATTTTACTGATGAAGATATTTTTGATTAAACAAAAGTAAACTCATAATAATTATTATTATGTTGTGTCATTCATCAAAATATTTCTGAAAATTATTAATTTATTAACTGATGTCTAGCAGTTTCTAAAGTACATAAAGAGTGTGTTCGAGGACATTTCTCGATGTTCAAAATTAAAATTGTCATCTTCAATTTTTGTCTAAAAAGATAAAGAAACCAGGGTTTATGTAATTAAAAGTATGTGTGATTTCATATAATTTCGGAAATAAGCGTAAATTCAGCGGTCATTCATTGGTGCATGCGTGTGCAGTTGATCAAATTAATCAGGATTAATTCGGGCTTGTATTAAAAGGTCGGGAGCGTCCTCGAGTTATACGAGGAACGAGTGGCACGGCTCACGGGAGGAAGCTATTAATTAATACAGATCGGAGAAAACGAAGTTATACGGCGGCACTTACCTCCCGGAAGAACGCGAGTATCCAAACTGTGCGTCTAATTAGCGAGTGAGTTTCCGGAGAGCGCGATGCATCGAGAGAGAGAGAGAGAGAGAGAGAGAGAGAGAAGAGAGAGAGAGAACGAGCGAAAGAGATAAAGAGAAAAGGAGAGAGAGAAAATGAGAGATAGAGATGCTTTGCTGTGATAAGTGATTATGCGGATAGGAACATGGGAGGGTGTTTTCCGAAGCAGTGCAGATTGTGTTTAACTCCAATAATTAATTCAAATCGTTGTTGTTAACACACAACATTAAGCTTTCGCAGTACTTTAAGATGAATACAATTTTTTCGACAAAATTTTTTTTTTACACAATTTGAAGCCGTAAACTATATATTTTAAATAATTAAAACAAATAGAAACCATAAATAGAAACATAAAAGTATTGTACTTTTTTGACATATGTATATATATATATATTTTTATATTATATTTTATATAATGCTTACTGATAATAGGATGGCAAAGTCAACACGGCCATGATCAAAGTTACGCAAACGCATCTCGTGGAGTCCGTTCGATCGACGAGACCATCCTTGTCCACCATTGAAAAGTTGAAATACGCTAAAATGTAAGTAAATGCACGAAAAAGATCAAAATTAAAAAATACTTATTTGTTTTAAAAAATTAAAAGCTTATGTTATTATATTTATTATTCTAACCATATTGCTTTATTATTGTAGTTATGCCCGGTTTTCTAAGGGGGACAGCTTCGCGGAGGATGCGCTGAAGAATCAAAAAGCGACACTAGCTTAGGCCGAATATTTTCTCAAATTAAAATAAAGTGTTTCAACAAGGCAAAAAAATATATTTTTATATTACGTAATTAAATACAACAATATAATAAGATGATAAAACTAAAACAAAACAATTTTCTGTTTCCTGACATCTGACATCTTAGCATCACATAAAATAGAGATTTGACGTCGTAAGATGTCGTAAGATAGCTGAAACATAATCCGAATTTTTCGATAATTATTCGATAATTATCGTCTGCTTTTGCGCCACGCATTCTTCGGATTCTTCGGGGGAATTGATTCCGAACGAGAATTCACACCCACACTCCGTACGTAACTCATGGCAGAGATTTTACCGAGTAAACCCGTTGGCAAACCGCACGGCGCGGCGGCGGCAGCTCGCGGGGGCGCGAGCTCGAGGAGGCGGATGTCGCGCCGGGGCAAAGTTAAATTAAATCACAGGCGAAGGCAGCTAATATTGTAGTTTATCTGGCGGGACATTAG